CTTTCCGATCGCACCTCGTATTTCTCCATTACTCGGATGCATCTCGTGCTAATGGACGACGACAAGATTTGTGGTGTGCAGCCTCCATTTCTTTTAGCATCAGCGTTTCGTCGCTGCTCGCGAATGTGCAAGTTTCTTTTGTCATTTCTGTTGTCGGCTCGCAGTAGCGAGTCATCGTGATTGGAATGCGCCCAGTCGCTTTTTCCTTCGTTTGTTTTATTACAGGACCAAGTGCTGCTCTTAAAGAAAAAGTGATACATACTCAAATTCCGTCACCTCCTGCTATATTTAACAACCGCAGAAAGTCTGTCTGCATGGACCGAAGTTCTTGAGAAACATGCTCGTTTAGCTATTTAAGAGATCGCCTGGAAGGTTAGTTACAGTGTTCACAAGAGTTCACCATCGGCCCCCTGCCTTGAGGCAGATGGACCCTGTCTCATCTGTACACATTTCCTTCGGATTCGTCTTAATACTATATTTCCATTTACTCCTAGGTATTCCGAGTTGGGACTCATTTTGTTACGAAATTTTCTCCAGCCTCATACCACTTAATCCCTCTGAGTTCCAAATATTCTCAGTTGAATCAGAACCAAACACTTGTTGGGTCTTTCACCTCGGATAGCCCACATGGGCTTGTGGTTTTACAAAAAAATCGCTTAGTCTAGTTTTGCAAGCAAGTTAATGTTTTGTAGAAGCTTGCCGTGTTCTTAAATTTAGCTGGAACAGGATTACCCACATGACTGAATAATGTCTGCGGTTATAAAACATTTTTATTTTGGAGGATATTTAACAGACAACTGAGAAAAAACAAGACGCCTTATTTTTATTTAGACGAGTAAGGAAATGAACCCTATCACATATTTGTGATGCTTTCTTTAGAAAAATTGAGACATTTTAAGAACAGTAATTTACATGTAATATGTCGCCTTTTCACATGTATTGTAAACGTCATAAATCAACTTATAATATCCTCCCATTTATTCTTAGCTCACTCAAGTTGTGTCTTCCCCTCAGAGTCACCAACCAATATTTTGTATGCGTTTGTCTCCTCGATGTCTATCCCATTACATTACATCATTGATCCCATCGCCACAAAATAAATGGTACGAATTATGAAGCTCCTAATTTCACTTCGCCCGCTCTATTTCTTTCAGTTATGTTTAACATTCTCTGTGTTTATCCTGCTCAGGGCGATAGAAAAATTTACACACACAATCAGACGAAAGGGGAACTTGGATTTTTGCATAAAATACCCGTGTTTCTGTGTAGGTGGCGGGAAGGCAAGTGTTTCTAAACTCATCGATACTAATCAGTTCCAATATTTAATCTGTCCTTTAGTTTTTCGTGGATGTTATTTTAGCATATTGCTATCAATTTCAAATATCTTAACTTCGCCAGTTTTGAAGGATTTCAAAGTATGTTGTGCTGCATTCTGGTGATAAGACTTGAATATACGAACTACGCTTTGTTTTCTACATTTATTTCAAGCTCAGCCTCTATTCGATAAACCAGTATAAAGTTATGGCGGGTCGCAATCCGCGGACAATTTGTTAGGAAGCGTCCTAAACATTTGTTGGGTTAACGCCTATTGTGTTGAGTACACGGTGTCTAGCAGATGGCGGTATCTAGTGACGTAGATACTGCGTGTTGTTCATATATCACCATGCCAACCAATTCTATCAAGGGCACTCTAGCGACTGTTTAACGCCATGTCGCAAGAAGTGAACTAAACCAGTCCGCAAATTTCTGTGTAACGTAAAATCATATTTGTTTTACCACAGCTAAAAAATACGATGTTTTATAATTTGGCTTTTCTCATAACTTGGAAGTTGCGAAGTAATTTATATGGAACTTCTCTTCTGTGTAGTCTTGTAGGTGGTTGCCAACCTTTCGCAACAACCAGTCGACACAATCGTCAGGGTAGGCACCCACCTGCAATACTACACAGCGTTATATCCTAGAAGACCATAACCCAATTTTTATCCACGTAAACGTTTTGATGCTCGTTGTTGCTTGTTTTCCTTGCCTCCTTTTACGATATTTAATGTGGGACGTTCTGTTGACATTGTGTTTGCTTTCAGGGGGAAGTTTGCGGCTGTCCGGAAATGCACACACAAGGAAACCGGCGTGGAATATGCAGCGAAGTTCATCCGCAAAAGACGACGTGCAACGGACCAGCGTAAGGGCATACTGCACGAGGTAGCGGTTCTCAAGATTGCCGCAGACAGCGCTCGCATAGTTCGGCTACATGAAGTTTATGAAACTTCAACAGAGATGGCGCTTATATTAGAGCTGTAAGCTGTAATTTTTCATGTTAATTATTTTTCAGCGAGTATTTTCCGCGCTGGAGGGTGGGTTCGACTCGACTTGGGGCCACATAGTGTCTTGAAGCAGCTAAATGTAAACTGTAAATATCGTTAATTGGTGCAGTTTATTTCTTGTTTAAATTTGGTGCCATACATTTTTTCTAACATCAATGCCTGTGTCTTATGTACTCATATATATATATATATAAGAGTACATATATATATATATTAGATAATCCAAGTGCTGGGTAAAGATGAAGCCCATAACATGAGACAGGTGTGTGATATGTGCTGCTTCGTCAGGGGGGTGGGGCAAAATTCTTAAGCTGAGCACAGACCCCGAGAAACTGTTACGCTATTGTTGATCTGAAAATTAAACAAGTAGTTATGGGAAGAATGTATGGTGCCTACTATCTTTCGTATACTTCAATTTAAGTAGTGGTGGGAGTTATAAGTTAATAATTATGTTCTTTTATCATTTCCACTAGTACATATTCCTGCTACTTTAGATACTCACTCATAGTGCTGCACAGTTGTCAAGTAGGAATCAACTTTATCAAACTCGTGTTCAGTTGTTGCATTTGGTCACTTTCAGAGCTGCAGGTGGTGAGCTGCAAAGGGTTCTTGATGCAGAAGAAGGGCTTGAGGAGCAGCACGTGGCCAGAGTCATGAGGCAGATACTCGAAGGTCTCTGTTATCTGCATGACAACAACATTGCACATCTTGATCTCAAGGTAAGCCAGGAGTAAGAACTGACTGAATTGCATGTATTGCATATTTATGAGGTCCCATATTTCAATCTCAGCTTTTAAACAGTCTGTTGAAGCTGAGGTTTTTGCAGACTTCTGAAATTCTTCCGGGCAAATGCTCGGATGGTTCCTTATAGTGTGCCGCAGTTGCTTCATAAATATGGGCTCATCCACTGAAATTTACCTGACATTTTGTTTGGTTTCAAACTAGTGTTGTTTCTAAATTCTTAATTTGTTATAGCCACAGAACTTACTCCTGACTGGTGCTTATCCAGACTGCGACATCAAACTGTGTGACTTTGGGATTTCAAGAGTTATCAAGAGTGGAGTTGAAGTACGAGAAATTCTGGGGACACCTGATTATGTTGGTATGGTTTATAATCTGCACGATTCAGTAACTGGGAATACACATTCTAGGGTCACCATTTTTATTTATAATGTATTTTTTACATTTTCCTCATGCTAGATGATTTGAATCAATCGCTCCAAATTACTTATTTCTGTATCCAAAAATTTGGATACAAATATTTAATTATCTTCTGCCCTTCTCACACACATACATTATGATGTATTATATTTATTTCTAATCTACAGAGCATTCCATAATTATTCATCCGAAAATAAAAAACATGTTTGCAGACGTTGAGAACAAAAAAACAATTATATTGACATTCCAACAGAAGGCAAAGTGCTTTATTCTAGAGGTTGTTCGACAAAGTGTTTTCCATGTTTTGCATTGACATGTGCAGTCAAAATATTTCTTTTTCTCATACAGATACTTTATGTTGGTCTGTCAGCCATCACCAGTTGGTCTGCAAGCGTTAAATTTAGTGATATTTGTTATGACTTTGGGTAAAAGTTGTTTGATCTGTGATGGCCGTTATAGAAGTTTGTAGTAATGAATAAGAAGATTATTTTTGTACAACTTGTGGAGTGACTGAACCTCATTTTGTGGTATTTTATGATAGCTGTCTATATTTTGTCTTTTAGCGCCTGAAGTGCTGGGCTATGAACCCATCAGCCTCGCTACTGATATCTGGTGAGTACTGTTTTCACTGATACAGTTCAGAATATTATGACTAACTGACTTGGTAGTAACATGTTACAGGGCCCTCGTTGAGCGGCGGATTTGAACGAGAAACTATATAGTTAACAGATCATCTTACTGTCTCTTGACTCAGAGTCGGAGACAAAACTTCGCTGTGACTGCTCTATTTTTTATCGGGTATGGCACATATCTTGGGATTACTCTGCTCTCAGTCTCATCAGAAGCGTCACCTCGGTCCGCCTTGTTTGCAAGACATGAATAAATAAAAATCAGCTTTTTGTAAATTATGTTATTTCCAAAACAATGGAGACAGGTGAACTTCTTGAAAACTCGTACGGATGTGCGTGGTTTTTGTTATGGTTGCAGGAATGATTAGCCAGACTGGGGTTTGCTGTGGGTTTCTTCACTTCCTTAGGCACGTTTCAGGGTAGTACAATAAGTTAGAAACAAGTTCTGAAATGAAAGTTCATTCACTAGTCATTTGTTTAGAACTCGGATCTTGATTTTCCAAATACACATTATAACAAATGCCAGTTATGTCTAAGTCAGCCACAATAACTTAACCAGTAATTAAATTAAAATATATTATAGAAGGAATTATGGTTGCAATGCTAGTAATTAAATAATTTAGAAAAACAACCAATCTGATTACTACCAATTATTTTAATTTAGGATGTGACTACAGGGCTTTGTGTGTGGTATTCTACACAGCATCCACCAAGCATCTTATCCCTGTGCGTGAAGTGTAAACAATACACTGTGCCACAAAATGTACACCCAAGAATGACAACTAGTCTCTGCATGTGAATTAGCATTCTTATGACTGAATTATTGGAATATTAAAGATGATAGCTTTGCTCTTGTATAACTAAAACAGCCATTTGTGACTTGAGGACTGAAGGTTATGATCGCTTCCTCCAGGCCATCTTCTCATATCAGTTAATACCACATGATGTACACAGATTCAGTGATCAAAAAATCAGTATCTTACTTTTCAATGAATCTGTATTTACTATTGTATCTGCAGGTCTGTAGGAGTACTGACATACGTACTTTTGTCTGGCTACTCACCATTTGCTGGCAATACCAAACAAGAGACATTCTGCAATATATCGCAGTGCTGTCTTAGTTTTCCTGATGAACTGTTTGATGGAGTGTCTTCTGTTGCCAAAGACTTCATTCAGGCTACGTTAGTTAAGGATCCTAGGTAAGAAGGAATTCTGAATTGGAATACTGCAATTTGTGGGCTCGGAATAGAGGTAAACATTTGTAACTGAAAATTACTTAATTGTATGGTAGACAGGTGGTGTTGCTATTCTGCATATCTGTTCTAAATGACATTTGTAGTTGACTTTTAACAGCTATTAACTGGTGGTCATTGATAGGAACTGCTGCTTTGTATCATGAAATTAATCTCGTTATAAGGAATTTAAATTGCAGTATTCATCTCTGAGCTCCAGAACTATTAACTGCATAACAACAGTTTTGAAAACATTCAGTTGTTCATGGCTATAGTGTCTCTTATTATATTTGTAGTTTTTTTATTCTAAAATTAGTTACATGTACTGTCAGATAATGGCTTCTATTTACCTTTTATTTTTCAGTAAACGTCTTACTTCTCACCAGTGCTTGGAACACCCATGGCTGTCAGAGCCATGCATAGTTGAAAAACTTTCAAGTTCTTGCCAGGCTGACACAGAACTTACTATTTCTTCAAGCAGTCCAGCAAGTAGCAGATTAGATCATTCAGAGAGTACTGACATCAAGAGTTTGTTAGTGAACAGAGCAGTACAGTGTCATAATTTTGAAACAAACAGAATAAATGGAAAAAGCTGTTCCTCTAGCTTTTCAAATGGGGGTATATTTGAGGAAAATGGAGTTCACAATTCAGATACCAAAGCTACTTCTCCGTCGTTTGGTCTTCAAAATAATGGCACAAATATTGTTGATGGAAATCATGAGACAGATAGTGAAGAGCACGAAGAGCTCCCAGTTCAGAAACGCCCAAAGAATTCTGAAGACAGACGATCAACTACGTACCCTGTAGCATCATGTTTATTATGTGCCCAGTGTGGAATGCAATGCTGCCGTCTCCATAGAACATCGGCAACGCCGGAGCTGTTACATATGACTCGACAACACCGCCATTCCAGTATGAGTAATTCGCCAGTTGAAGTAATTTTGGACAGAGGAATCACATGCTAGACAGTAGCTTCAATGAATAAGAATAAATTGAAGTGCAGTTATTTTGAATCTGGGAAACAGCTGAGCTGTTCAGTGCTATCCTGTTGCAAACTATGAACTGGTGTTGTAGGTTTGCATAAAAATGATATAAAATATCAGGGTTTTTTTCATTTTCTTGATTTTTATAAATGCAGACATTGCTACAAAATTTCAATAAATTCCATCTTTAAAAATTCACTGAGATATTTCATTCTGGAAGCCAAGGAACATTCAGGCATACAAAGTAAGGAAAACTGGTCAATTTGAGCATCATAATTACGTACAAACAAAAGTGATAGACTCCATTGTAGCTTACATGTGATTGTAGTTTGTAGTAACAAACATTGGTGGAAAAATTACAGTACTGGTAACCATCGGATTTTTACCCTTGGAGCATGGTTGGATGCAGCATCCCAACATTTTATTCTATGATATTCAAGTGTAGTTCTAATTGCTGCATAGGTAAAAAAATATAAAATGATTTAATAGTATCAACGTTAAATCAAATGGAATTATTAAGAAAAAGTGCTATTATAAATTTTGCATGTTCTTAGTCTGCTAAAAATTTTGTTTTCAGGAATATATTTTGTGAAATTTCATATTGTGTATACAACAAAGTGTCGTGGAGAGACACGCAAATAATGGATAATTGGTTGATGTTTACATCCATTGTAGTAGTGTTGATAATTAATCTGCAGTATACCAAGACACATTTTTTCCAAGTCATTACCAGATAAGAAAGAAACAGAGTAAATCAAAATCCAGTGATTTAAATAGAATGTGTTCTTTCTCTATTTTTATATTAGTTATTGTGTTTCCCCTTTTTCCTCAAAAATTATCATGAAAGTAGGAGTTGTATTTTGTAGTTCATGTGATTTGTGTCTTAAAAATGCCATCAATACTGAATAGACTCTGTTATTGTAGCAGTGAATAGAAGTTGAGTATGTATGAATTACTCTTAATTTAAAGCTGATTGCTTTGAAATTAAATTAACTTTCACACTTACAAGACTGATTTATCTTCAACGTCAAATTCTGTGTCTTTGTTTTACAGAGGTTGGAGTAAATTATGACATTTTCCTATGCATAATTCTTCAAAGATTTAAATTTCCTAGAATGACTTCTATAATGTTGTTTCAGCTTCAGTTTTTGTGTGGCTTACTGATATGTGGAAATTGAATACTTGTGAGGGGTTTGTTAATGTTTATAAGAAAGTTTCAGTTTTTGACATACACAAATAGTGTTATTGTCTACATGCATTTGTGTTTCTAGACGTGAGAAAACTAATCATGTAATTGAGTTTATCCTGTATATTTTGATGGATTCTACTTGTAAATTAAGTACAAATTTCTACTAATGTCAGCCCATTATTTGCAATTTGTTTCTCTTTTGAATTAATTAATATTCTTTGTCTTAAGAATAGGCTAAATAACATCTTTGGCAAATGAGATGGTTAGGCCATTAAGAGATTTGATTTATAAAATGAAAATACTTCAAGAATTAAAAAAAAAAAATAGTATAAGTAATGAATTTTCTATGATAGAAATTTTTTGACTGTAAAGTCTTAACATGATCTCCAATGTTAAGAGATATTTCTTAAGGAGAGATAAAGTAAATCAGTGATCGTCTCCATTGCTATAAGAATTCAAAGGAAGCAGTTCCTCATATCTCTGGAGATCCATTTTTACCATAATGGTGTAGTGATGTTTTGTTTAGTATCACAGCTAAATGGTATTTATGTTTTCTTCCCAGACCAAAGATAATATTATGTTAGATTTGTATATTTCTGGGGGGCTGCATTTAAAAAATTGTTTAAATGACTGGGTCTGGTAAACTCAAAACAGAGAAATATTATATATCAAATGATTATTCCAGATGATTAAGAAATTTTAATTTCTATTCACAACGTTGCATTTTTCCTCAGAATATGTAATAACAGTTTCATTTTATAAGTGACGTAATCAAATACCGTGTTAATTGTCTTAATACGTACTTAAATTACAATTTTTGCAGTAATCTTTGTGACCATTAAAACTAATATTAAATATATTCTATAAAATTGCCCTAACTTAATTAACTTAAATCAATAAAGTTACTTGTGAACTGACATAAAATTACAGATTTCTTCCTCATTCTCCAGAATACTTTCAGTTTGACCACTAGGTAAGTGTTTTTGGCAGTATAGTCCTCTTGGATGATCGGCCACCTGGGAATGAAATTAATATCCTACATTTAGGAGACTTGTGTCTGCTTCCATCATCAGGGTTGACATGACACAAGTACCCATTGTATTTTTTATCCACAGCTCTAGAGTCCAGTGGCGCTGTTTGACAGTTTACCAACAAAGGAACAGCAGTCAGAGTTACGTAACTTGTGCAGTCTGGAATGCTAGCTGTCGTTCTTTCTTCTGTATATTGTTTCTTGAAGGTCTTATTTCATTGAAATATGTTGGCAGCAGTCAGTTAATGTGAACTATAAGAGCCAGCTTTTATCCACATAAATTTAATTGATCTTGTATTTTAAGATGATAATTATTGTAGTCATTTATCTTCCTTCTAGGCTCCTGGCTTTTGGAAATTTGCTTTGCTGGGCAGTGATCCAAAACACAAAACTTCAGTGCGCTGCAAAAGGTTCACTGTGGATGTTTTCCAATGACTCAATCCGTTATAAACTAATTGCAGCAGTCTTTTGAGAAATGGTCCATTATCTGTGTCTACATCTCTCAGGTGATGTCTTCTCTTCAGTTTTTCCAACTAAAATTATACGCATTTCTTGTCTCCATCAGTATCAACCTATTTAGTACATTCTGTTAATGTAATAAGCCAAAACATAAATGTAAATAATTATTTAGGGTGACATAATCTGAAGGGTTACAAATCAGTAACTTTGTTTTGTTTGGATGATATTTTTTAGCAAGTGTTGACTAACTTTGAGAGTAGTGAACTGTTTGTCTTCAGGGTTGTAATGCCGTGTGGACTTGTAGGCTAGAGATAGAGTCGGTATGTTTATACAAAACATTGGTATCAACTTACAAGTAGATTGTTTATTGTCACACCAATTCTGGTTAGGTATATTATGAACAAAATTTTATATTTGATGAGCCGACATTTTTCCTTGGAAAATTACTGTGGGTTTGAATTACGTTTAAAATTAGGGTTAATAGTAGTGATGCAGATTGAAATAAAATACACTTGATATTGACTTCACATGCCAAATTTGAGTGAGATGTGTGAAGTATTGGAGATAGTGCCTGTACATGAAGAAATGGATGAATATCTTGACTTCCATTGACTCACAGGCACATAAGTTCTTGGTCACACAAGAAAATCAGACCACGCTAGGGTCGTGAGTTCAAATTCTGCGCAGTGCTTGAATGTGTGTACGCGTTTGCCGGCCATCGTCCAAATTCGTGTGTTCTTCCGCAGCGTACAGATAAAACGACCTAAGAAACCCCACATCTCATTCTTCAGTATCAAGGAAACCGGGAGATAATGATCAAATCGGGTTATTTGAAACGCAGAGGCAAGGTTTACGTCCGTTCAGGTGCCTCAGTCTTCTTCCCCCGCCCATTTATATGGTTCTTCGCACTGAAGGACAAGGAACCAGGGGCAAAGACATGGCCGCGTTCCGTTCCTGCTACCTCGCGAGACTCCAGTCACAGCGACCTTGGTGAAACCACGGCCCATGACTAATGGAAACGCATTCTTCCTCGCTCAACAAAGCCTTCAGGTTACACAAATATACTTGCCGCATGTTATAGACAACCTTGTATTGTGTTTCCCCGCAGCCATCTGGCAGAACGAACGAATTCACGAGGGCGAAGAAACTTTCCACAGTAGCTAACAGCTGCATTTCCACTCTAACGACTCGTACTTGAAACGGACGGCGTTCAAAAGCTGCGCATGCCCACGGCCGCTTTTCAAATGGGAGCGGTTGGAAGCTGCGCACAACTTCGATTTTTGCGGTCTCACATCACGAGTTTTTACGAAATCAGAAGTCGCTAGTTTGATTCTTCTGAAGTGGGGATTACTCGTTTGCATGTTCTCGCTTTTACAATAATTTATACTGTCTGCAGCTTCTTACTGTAGGTTCAGGGCCGATCCCCCTTCTAAGTGGTCCAAATGAATCATAGTTTCAAAATTAATTTTGAATCGGAAGATGCCAAAGGTCCTAATGAGCGAAAGCTGATGAAATCTCGCCCCTCCTTTCTGTTATCTCCTTCTCTCCCGATCTACGTCGAACACGTGTGTTCATAAGCTATATGACTGGGCACGTGTGCGACATCAACGGTTGGCTGTGACATTTCTTTGCGGAAAGTGCGGAAGTTGCCCCGTGCATTGCGAATCGATTATTTCGCCACTCCGATCACGTGAGAAGATCTCGCTTTCCACTGTCGCTGAAACATGCGGTTTCAGATTGGAGCTTTGGACCAAAAATGTCAGTTTCTGAGCGACTTTTCTCGTGCGTAGTACGGAAATGTTTAAGACACTGACATATTAACGACAAACACCCTGGTTATATAGGCAGTAAGCACCCCTGACACATTGGTAAACTACCAGACTACACGGCGCAACATTCCAGAACACAGCAATCTTCAAGGTAACGAACTTTCGGGTTCTATAAAAGGCGAAGAATTCCTTGATCAGCTGAGCATGTATTAGCTTATCAAGGACTCTACTGTATGAGGCTAGTTAGCTAAGTGAGCTGAAGTAACGGGGGGACACGTAAAACCACACAGGCTTACCGAGGATCTCCACAGTTTGTAATTTGGCTAAATTGAGTCAATAAAGGTCCGATGGACAACAGGAAGTACACACACAGCTCTGAAGAAGGAAGCAGTATGTTCCACCGAAAAGTTGGCTTCAACCTACAAGTCCACTCAGCGTTACAACCCAGAAGACAAACCTCGACATTTTCATTTCCGCTGTAATTCGTTGCTTCTACTTATCGTGAAACAAGAAAAAGACACTTCTTTTTTAAATAACTTCATATTTCAGAGGTGGCAACTATTTCTCTGTTCCGAAAATCGTGCAAAAGCCGGATCGTTCGTTATCGATATTCTGTCATTCTCTGTCTCTCTTTAAACGTTGAAACCGTCGAGCTGTATAGACGCGTCGCGACGCCACATCGCGTGTAGCGGGTAGCCGTGCAGGCGCCAGTCAGCAAAGGGCTGCTGTGACGTGCAGAGACGTAACTATATCTCGCTGTGGTACAGAGCAGCGTTTAACTTCTGAGCGCTGCTAATAAATTATTGCTGTGTATACATCTTTTTGGGACACCTTGTATTTGTAATATGAATAATAAATCATAAAAATTTAACATATTTTGATGTTATAGGAAGGCGTAGTAAATGAACAGAATGACAACACGTAAGAAATATAGAACTTCCTCGTCGCCGTGATGATGGAGACAGTAAGCACCTCTGGAACGTCGGTAAACTTTGTAACCAATTGCACGGGTAAAAACCCCCAGAAGAAAGTAATCTCCAGAATAATAATAAGAAGAATTCGGGTGATAGAAGTACGACAAGAACGAGGAAGTGTAGGAGCATAGAAAGAAAGAAGGAAAGAAAGAAAATGTAGAATGAGAGGAAGGAAGGAAAAAATGGAAATAAATAATATATTCCGACAAAATATTCTATCAACCTGATAGATGACAAAAACAGGGCTAATAATATCCCACAGATATTACGATACTTTGCGAACTATTTTTAAATTAATTTCGAAGTGTCGGTGTTCACCAGTTGATAAACGCTTCTGCAGCTGACTGAGATATCACGGTTCTTATAACAAGAAGCTCGGTGTTGTATGACTTGCTCGGTCAAAATATAAGCCACCTGAATGTACGTATGACCCTTAAATATGCATTTTCAAAAAAGGCTGCCTGGAAATTAGCAAACAGTTCTTCTCTGTAAAGGCTTACAGACCAATGCCTGTTTAGCGGGTCACCGTTTTGTAATCATTAAAGAGTAATGAGGAACGCCTCGGGTCACTGAGCACAGAGAACAACAGATTCTCTCGAGGGAAGTCTCTGAACACAAAGTCACTGACGGCGACGTCCAAGTGAGAAGCAACACTCGACAAATCTTACTGTGAAAGGCGACGCCCAGGGAGGCGTTCTGTAAACCCACCAACGATCGATGCCATCGGAGGCGTCTGGCATCTGTTCTACTGTTTACCTCATCACTCCAAGCCGTATACTAGGACGAGACTCGAAAGAAGTACCCTTATTTAAAATACGCATTGTTCTTATAAATGTTCCGGAGAGGCGACATGAGAGGATAATATTGAAACTTAAAAAAATATGATTTACTTAGAGATCAGACCAGAATATCACCATCGAAATTTCAGCTAATTGTTTCATAGCGTGCATTTCTTTGCCATTAGCAAGCTTCTTTGTGACTCAGTAGGCACAAAGAAAGATTAGTCATTCTCATCTATTAAATTAAAAATTAATGTCATGTATAAAAGTAACGATGTATTCTTTGAGCTGAACGAGCAACGTTCCAGAAGATATAAAATTTTCGAAACAGTTTTTGTCTTTGTTTTCGATTCAGCCTGTAGGATCTGCTTCAGGCCACCTGCATGCCTTTTCTGTCGTATGGGCTTCCTATGCTGTTAGGCGAAACGGAAGATTAGATGCTAGAGAAACCAAGTATGTGAACTACTGATACATCAGACTCTCCATATATTCATGGAGTTTATGAATTTGGTTGGCAAATGATGTTTCTGTGCTGCTATTACATTAAAGTATATATTTAAGGTGGGGAACATCCTTCTTTTTTTTGAGCCGAAGGATTAATTACGAAGTAAATTGTTTTTTTGTCATTGACAGTTGTGTGTGGTGCTCTTAATTGCATTTCTTAGGTCTAATATGAAGTAACTTGACCCCAATCACAGTGCGACAGTCCACTCAGATCCTAAAGCCAGGGCAAGGATGTAATCCACCGAGATCAATAGACGGCGCGCATGGCTGTGTGGTGGAATGACGTCACACACATCATTTCCCGTCGTCCCGCACCGCAAGTGGGTTGCGGTGGTGTGAGCAGTTTTCATTTTAGAAGATTTT